AGACGCTGAAGATGATCTTAATAAAGATCGAAACGTTGGGACGGTAAAGGAAATGTTTTTTGGGTACCTACATCACACCAGACCGCATCTCACGATTTCCGAATAATCATCGACTAACGGTCATTAATCACCACACATTTTATTCTTATGTTTTTACTTTATACAGTATTAAGTTTTTGTAATTTAACAAGTAAATAATTTGCCAAATAAATACCTTAACCGTGACTAGATGCAATTTTATAAAGGAGGTCCCTGAGGAGGCCTTAATAAAAAGCCGAAGATTTGCAAGAAAGTTACGACTATTTCATTTTGGACCACACACTTGATCTCAATCCTCAATTATTAATTATCACTGGTCGATAATTCTCTCTGGGATACAGCACTTGGTTATCTTAGTCAAATTTCCCTGAGAAGACCGAAGTTAAAGAAATCTACGTTTTTCATACAACATTCTTCCATGTGATTCCAATGTGAGAATGCATTATTATAAAAATTCACATATAAGATCTGGTTTGTTATCAAAGCCACAAATCACAATGAGAAAACCACATTATATTAATGATGTGAGGGAAAGAAAAAAATACTAAAAAGAAATCATATTTATAAAGGATAGAAACTGCTTTCAATTTAACAATTTAATTAAACAATAGATGAGGTGAACGCTATGTGTTCATTTAATATTAATATTCTCATATAAAAAGTGAGATTTCCCTGATATATTCAGCTTTTATTAATTATGGTTTTGTCTGAAAGAATGTCCATTGTGGAAAAATCGGTTATAAGAACTTTCTATATTTCTTTTTCACTGCTTAAATAATATAGCTACTTTTAACCAAAAATCAAGAAATAATTTAATATCTACAAATACAAGTTATTTATTATTTATCAGTCTCGATATTTATGTATGGGTATCGGCGGAAAATATCTATAAGATGGTAGACACTTCACTAATGTAGTTGGTTCTGATTAATAGAAAAGTAACAATAAAAATAAGATATATCAATCTTTAACACACAAATACATGCATTTTCATTAACAAACGCCGAGTGTGGCGGACTCTTATAGTACAATATATTAGTTATTTATGGCTCTTTTGCCCGACGCCGAAAATTCGGCCATCACTTTGATACTGAACCATGATTTCATATATTCTGCCTAATCGATGTAGAATATGGGCCTTCATTTTCATTCATGTACCGTTCCCCAGGCTTCACATTCATTACAGCATAGAGACAACTCAAGCGGGGAACACTTACCGATGCGACGCTACCCGATGCTACCGGACGCAAATGCAAAGTCCAATTTTCTAAATTGTTGTACCCCCGTGCACTACTGCCCGATGCCACGCTACGCTACCCTACGCGATCCCCACTGTCCAGATTTTCGTCGAGTAGCATCGAGTAAATTTGAAGACAAAAGAACCGGACACTCATGTTTTTATTCAAATTACATGTATTATTGTCGTTGTATTAATTAAAACATTCTTATTTTAATGTAAACCATATTAAACTAGATCAAAACGTCATGAGTTTTTATAAAAATTATTTAATTAGGTGGTTGGGAAGAAAATTTATAAAAACACCGGAATAACTTTATTTAAAACGATTAAGTTCTTCAAACAATTTATTACATGGTTGTGCTCATAAAATTTAATTATAATTTTTTACAAGGTTTTGCTCAAAATAGTGCATTAAGAACAAAAAAGGCGTTGAGATTGTGATACACGCTGTGTGACGTACGTGGTGTGCACTTGACGCATAGGTGTGCACACCCTACAAAAACGCGACAAGCGTCGAGTAGTATCGGGAAGCATCACATGGCGTTGAATCGGGTAAGTGTGATCCCCTTTTTAATGTTTTCAGGCGAATTTGTTTTGGTACATCCCAACGGTCTCCAGCATCATCACTAGATGTTATCTGAATTCAGCTCAACACAGAATAGCAGTGATGTAGTTTTTTTTTGTATTCTGGTTGAAGCATATAACATTCCTGTTCATGTTTAAAGTTGTTTACTTTTACATCTACTACCGACCAAATCAGGAAAATCATTCAACGTACAAAAATTCTTTTACATCGGATGTACCTACCGTTCTTGGAGCATCTTTTCTTCTGTTCTTTTACGGTCCTCCTTGTGTTGTCTTTGTCGTTTCCATCTAGTTCCTTTTATCTTCATGTTAAATTTTTATTTTAGCAACTAATGAGTTTACTAACAACTGGTTTATTGTTGGTAGTTTGATATGGGAAAGTCTGTGTTTTTCTTTGTCTTTCGTGTTCTTCATGTTTCCGACTTCAATGTTGTTCTCTCGGCCCTGTTTATCCATTGTAATCTTCATAATAATGAAGTTCTCGATGGATCGTCGCTTTTGTTGGAAAGTTACGCCGAGTTGGCGCGTATCTAAAAAATGTAGTAATTGTCTGGGTACCTTGACACGTGTAGCGCCGGAGAGCAACGAACTAGGCGGCGAAAGACCATCCTGCAGATCTTAACTATCACAATCTGATCAATAAAAAATATGATAACGAAAAGATGACATCTTCAGTGGCCCAGGTCGTTCGATAAGCTCTTTCTTCTTAACCCTCCCCCCAGAGAATTTATATCGCAGAAGAAGAATCATCCTAACCAGGCTATTCGCGTATACTCAATTATGACGGATATCTATATTTGAGTCAAAGCCCGCGGCGGGTGGAAAATGGTTGCACAATATGTTTTATTTGAAGGGTGTCGATCCTTGGCAGTTATAGAGAGCAAATCAGAGAATTGCGGTCTAGAACGGTAGCGAATGTTTAGGTTTCTTGTACCGATTTTAGGAGCTTACAAGCGTAGTTTTGTATGTATACATTTTTTATTATAGTTAATTTTACAATATATATGAAAAAATGTAATCAATAAAATCAATACAAGATGCTATAAAGGAAATTGACATTACATGTGAGTTATAAAAAATGAGAGGCCAAAAAAGTGGCCTTTTTATATTTTCAATTTTCTTTTCTTTTAGATAATCCTGCATCGTTTAACTTACAACGGTATTTAGACCGTTTTAAAGGAGTTCTTTGTTTGTTTTATTCACTTTATTCATCCATATGTCACTAAATAATACGTCTTTACAATATATAATTTTGAGGTACATAATAAAAACTTTTTCCACTTACACATTTAATGTAACAACTTTAACATAATTATTTAGGTAAAATTAATTTAGTTTAGTTTTCATGGAAAAATGATAAAACCGTAACTATGAAATAAATAATTAAGTTAATAAATAAGTTAAATAAATATATTACAGTTTTATTAATCACATAACATTAGCATTATTTCCTGTATGCCCTTGTGACATATGGATCCCTCCTATGCTTCAAACTAAAGCCTATTTACTGTTGTTGCAAGTTTCGAAAATCTTTGGCGCACGTTTAAGTATGAATTCATTAATGTTTTCTACGTGTTAATGTTTTTTTTTTTTTTTTTTTTTTTTTTTTTTTTTTTTTTTTTTTTTTTTTTTTTAATGGAGGAGTTCAATTTTAGTGTACCTTGGAGAATTGGTACATAACCTTCGGAATTTATTTTTACTAATTGTAACAACATTTTCACATACTTTTTTCTATTTTCTACAAGAGAGTCTATGTGTGATGTGAAATTTAACTCACTATCCGGTTTTATTTCGAGATATTTAACGAAGGCTGCTCAAGACAACGTGGAAACCCTAAAACTAATGTATTCGGTTATACAAGGTCTACGTTTAGTAAATAGGATAGCCTCGTCTTACCTGGGTTTATCAAAATGCAAACTTTTTTTACAGCATTGCTCATATTTTCACAATGGCAGTAACCCGCCAGGATGAAGTAAAGAATACTGCATCGTTGGCAAATAATCCTTTATTAAGAGCTGCTAACATATGGAAATCATTAAGGTATATCAGGAATAAGGTGGGGCCTAACACCGATCCCTGCGGTTTACCTGCGTTTGCGCTTCGGATAGTTGACGTACCATATTCCACTTGAAGTACGAATCGTCGAGTTTTTAAGTAGGAGACTACTATTGCTATGAGGTACCTGATGACCTATAGTTAATCATCTTGCATATGTTGCCAATATGCCAGACGGGATTAACGATGCCAAGCAGAATTACCCCAGTGTGCTTCTTTCTGTTGAAGTTTCAATTTACATTGTCTATCAATCTAAATAGTGATTTCAAGGATTAGAGATAAATACAACACAGATAAAATGTTCCAGTTGTGTTTGCAGTTGGATTTTATAAATAAATCTTTGAATAGGAATTCTCTTTTTTGGTTATTCTGTAAAACTTCTGTCTAAAGTCCCGGTGGTTTTGGTTTATTAAGTTGTACTATTTTTAAAATACAAATTTGTTTGGATGATGGTTTTAAGTGATACAGCTTCGGCTAGATTCATAGCACTGTTGGAAGATGGACGAAGGCAAGCTGTGTAGCCAGGATGCTTAACATTCCCAGAACAACTGTGAGAAGGGTCTTCCATCACTACCAACATTCCGGAGTTTACTCAAGAAGGCATGGATCAGGTCGCCATCGTGTCACATCTCAGAGAGATGATCGTATCATTTTTTCGAATTTACTCCGTAATCGACCATCTACCGTTGTTGAGATTAAGCAACGACTTTCAAAATTAATTAAAACAAATGAAATAAATTGAGTGATAGACAAGAAATTTGGTCGTTGCTGACTTAAGTCAGGCAAAAACAGAAAATTGTTAAACCAAAGTGATCAGTAAAGACTATTACAAATGAATTTCGCCTAGCATGTTCTTCTTATATATCAGGGAGAGATTAAAGTGTCAAGCTTGGCTCTGCATTTTTGCCCTAGGGCCATAACTGATCACAAAGTACAAAACATTATTATGGACCCCGATCCGCGAAAAGAAGAGTACCGACAGGGAATCAATGTCGAATAGTGGCAGGTGTGCTTATAAATATTGGGAGGGTGAGTGCGTGGGTGGAAGGGACCATGACGGTAAGTGGGAGTGGGCATGCGCTCCCCTTCACCCTTCAGTGTTCAGTAACCCGTGGAGAGAGGAAGCAGAACGCTGGCCGAGACCGTCCCCGTTATGTAAACTCGGTGTTGTGCTGTGTTTGTGTTTGTTTTCTGCATATCGCGATGGGCTGCGAGCTGGGAAAACTGACGAGGATCAGCGGCAGCGGAAACTCCGAAGGCCGTGAACCTCCTCCCTCGGCACCGGCGCCCTCCGACCCGAGGCTGCCTCTCACCGCCAAACAGAAGTACTCGATGGTCGCCTCCTGGAAAGGCATCTCTAGGGCGATGGAGCAGACCGGAGTCTTCATGTTTATCAAGTAATACTTTCACCTACTGTAAACATAAAGCTATCGCATATAACAAAAATCGTAAAAGGCGTCGAGATATGAACTGGTAATTGATTTTGACAACACATAAAAGTTTCGTTCTATCCCTCTTTCATCGACAACGACCATAGACGCGATAAATTTAAAAACGTAAAACTTTGAGAGATAGAAAATTTACGTCAAAATTATCAAATATATACATAATAAACATATTATTACTATTATTATTATTATTCATTATTATTACAAGCCAACCAGCATAACATTATTATTATTATTATTATTATTATTATTATTATTATTATTATTATTCATTATTCATTCAGTGTCCAGAAGATGGAACATTTACATGCCCATACATCAATTTTGATGTAACAAGAATGACAAAACTACATTTTTAGACGTTTTATTGATTAAAATTAATGATTGCTTCTTAACGATTATCTGTTGAACCTGAATAAGTGTGTGTGTATGTGTGTGTGTGTGTGTTTTTGTGTTTGTGTGTTTGTTTGTTTGTGTGTGTGTGTGTGTGTGTGTGTGTGTGTGTGTGTGTGTGTGTGTGTGTGTGTGTATGCCTGTTATATTGCCTCCTCTTTTTAGCATAGTATGCTTTTGGTACCGTTCCTTTTTAATGGATATTTACAAAAGTAAAATATACAACAAGTCGCTATCTGTTTTTTCACAGGTCATATTGCAATGTTGAAGTTGATGTGGTTTATTCTTTCGTACAGTCTTTTTTCTTAGAAGGTCTTGCCGTTATCAATAATAGCTGCTATCATCTATCTGTATAATTTTACCAACTTTTTAAACTTATTTGTGTTTGTTTCTGCATGTAAGCAGTGAAAGAACGTGTTTATGCATTTTTCAGCTGGACAGAATACATCATTTCCTTCAGGGTTTTATGGAGGTGCAACATTTGTTCATATTTCTTCTACGTTTAAGCGTTAGACGAAAACGATTTATTTGTCTGCCCCTGAAACCTACAGAAATGGATAGTCATTTTCCATTTTTTCACTGGCACGATCATGAAGTATCATTATCTTTGGACTATCATTTTATCAAATTATGCTTTAATAGTTTAAGACGACTGATGTGTTCTATCAACTATAAGGAAACGCATTTATGATTTTTTCTATATAATAATTAAATCAATAAAAAGGTGAATGGCACATAGTTCTAGTATGAACGTTAAATAAAAATTATTCTTTCAATGTAAGGTCTTGGTTGAGATAAAAGAAGATAGAAAGAATAATTAATTGAAAGAAGTAACTTTGTCAAATGACCACTAAAACGTAAATGGGTTAATTAAAAATAAACATATTAAAATAGATATAGAAATCTTTGTGTCACTGAGTGTGCAAGAATGAGAATAATGAGAGAAAGAGGGAATGATTGAATAAATAAAATAGGTTTTATTTATAGTAGCAGAATTTGGTGTATTCCCTGGAAGAGAGCGATAGGAGATATGATGAATAAAGGAATAAGATTTTATTTATAGCGAGAAAGAGAGAGAAAAAGAGAGGAAGAGAGATAGAGGAAAAGGAGGTGAGTAAGAAAGATAAGAAGAGACAGAGAGAAAGAGAAAAAGAGAGGATGAGAGAGAGAAAGAACGAAAGAGCGAGAGAGAGAGAGAGATAGAAAGAGAGCAAGAGTGAGTAGGGAAAGAAAGGGAAAGAGAGCGAGGGAGAGGTGAGAGAGAGAAATAAAGATATTTCGGAGAGAGAGAGAGAGAGAGAGAGAGAGAGAGAGTGAGAGGGAAGTGAAGTAGAGCGAGATATTGAGATATAGGGAAAAAATGAAAACGAAAAAATAGGAGTGAAAAACAGCTTAAGGGGAGAGATGAAGTTATTAAATTACACGGCCCATATTGGTAAAAATGTGCAAGTTATAAATTTAATTTCCGCAAATAGAATATGTTCTTTTTATTGAATCATCCATGTATACCTCTAATCGAGACCGATTCCACAAAGGCGTCGAAATATTTCAAACAAATTAAAGGAGAAAAAGAGCCCGTTATTAAGACTGGAACAGAGAATCTTTTCAGCGGTGAGATTTACGCGCGGAAACAAAAACCAATAATTTACCAGACGGTACAAACAAACAGGGGTGGAAGGGATGAATTGATACCCCCCATGCTGTAGCAAAATGAAGATTTTAAGTCGCTTTTTTATCCGTTGGTTGATCGGTGTTTTCACAGGCAGATTATAACGTAATAATTCTATGAAACTAGTGGAAAAAATCATTTTCTCCCAAATGCAATTAAGAATGTCGTGTATAACTAGAAAAGATTATCTCAGTGCGATTCATTAGTTTTTATTTCATAATTATTCGGTTAATAACTAACAACAGCAAACAACCACACCACATTAGTTGCCTTTATGAATATTATGTTATAGTATTATTAGAGTGAAAAAATAATCTATTAGTTACACTCCAAACACAGCTATGTTCACTTTCCTTACTAGGGAGAAACTTGGGAAATCTTTGGGAGCTATGCGTCTTACAGAATATTTGGGAAGGGTTCGGAATGAAAGGTGTTGGACTAGGGGTTTGGGATGAGGGTCCAGAGTTTTATGGAAATTTGTTGCAGTTTTGAGAACAAATTGGATTTAAAATTCTGTGGAGATAGTAAGGTTAATTACGATGAGATCTTGGACAACGGATCGAATGGATTGAATTCTTTGGAGGTTGTAACGCTTGGCTGAACCACCAAGTTCAATTTCCGTAAGTCCAGGTTGTAGTAATGATGTGTCGAAGAGGCGTTTATTTTCCAGTGAGAGCTTCGATCTATAGTCACGAAGTCTTTTGAGTTTTGTATTATCATCTTCTCATTTCTATTCTTTTAAGTCTTGTGGGAGTTCCAAATAAGTCTTTAGGCGATGTAAAATCCTAAATAACGGATTGTGGGAGAGAAACAGGATTGTAATTCATTGGAAAAGAATCTTTTGCATATGAGAGGATTTGGTAGCAATGTCCGTAGTGTATACTAAATATAGAAAGAAACCAAGAATGCGCCCTTGCGGAACACCAATATCGTCATAGGAAGTACTTGTCGGACACAGACAGGAATAAGTGAATGGAAAGATGTTCTTGACTGTTTAGAGCAAGCTATAGTGTCATATTCAAATGAGATGTCTCAGGTCTAAGAAAGCACCGAACAAGCATTCCTTCCTCTAATGAAAGGATGAGATGCAGTCCTCCTATTGGAAGGGACTTCGTCAGAACCTAGCTTGATAGTAACTGAAAGGATGGAACTCAGGTTTTTCAGATGGAGTTCCAAAGATTTTGCGAAGTTATGACATCAAACCATAAGAGGTTTTGGCCCAAATGAAAATTTTGATAAATACATATGTTCAAGATAATTTATTTTATTTTTATTATTACATGCCGATGAATTATAATCGTCGAACATAGCCAATAATAATCTTATATTATTGAGACTGCTTAAGTATACTAAACCATTCTAATAAAGAACGAATTTCACTTTAAAAAGCATTGGTTGAGACCTAATGCTCAATCTCAATAAGGATGTATTGCCATGTAACCCGTTATATTATGTATTTACAAAACTGAATGATTCTTGAAATATTAAAACTACCCATCAATTAAACAAAAAATAAAAAAAACATCAACGAGAAAAGGTGACGTCAACCACGGCTTACAGCCGTCGCGACCCGTTTACCCACTCAGGGGTACCATTTGATAATCGCTCTGAGTTCCCGAGGGAGAGGATGAAAAAGAGAAATTCCTCTTTGGGACCATTCATACCGACAGCTTGCCTGAATAGCAATCATCTCAATCCTTTTCCTGTGCCCCGCAGCATTACAACCCCACGGTTCGATTACTCCAGGCATGTCAGGAATGCCCATCCGGAATCTGTGATCCAGATTGAAAATGACGTCTTTGAAATGGTTGCATGTTTACTCAAGCGTTATTTTAAATTGCGGGTTATAAAACATAAAAAATTAATAAAATCTATTAATAATTTTTACCTATCGTTTTTTATTAAATTATAAAATTTGGGTATATAAATCTTTTAATTTATGCAAATACAAATTCCAGTAAAATTTCAATAATAGTGATATACGTACAGACCAAAGAAAAATATATTTTTAAAAATTTTCTCAAAACGCATATTTTTTCTCGTAACAGTGGAAACTAGGCAAGAAGCTATTAACACATAGTGAACAATAGAGATTAGTATTGTACTGAAAGTCCTTGAATTGTAAAATGTTACACAATTCCCAACAAAAGCGTTGTCGTTAAAGGTACAGGATGATTAGTGGTTTTTGTAAACTTTTTCCCCAGTAAGTGAATCCGAGGTTTCTACAATATATAAATAAAGTATTTAAATTGTCGGATGATTGCTTTAGGATGTACAGAGCCCTGCTACTTTTCCCCTAAATTATAAATTTATGTAGTACCTATCTCCTATGTAATTTGTCAATAAATATATTACTACTATTTCTTAAAGGTACAACTTAAAATTAATTAAAAAACAAAGACAATAAAGATTATATTAAATATTTTAATCAGTTTAGATTGAAAATTCCATATAAAACAGCACAAAATTAGTTATTCGATTCATGTTAAAATAAGCTTTACCAGCTTAAAAAATGATAAAATAATTAATTATTATTTCTTCTTTGAGCCAAAGACCGCGTATAGTAGCACATAAAGGGAAAGGCCGCCTCGATTTGTCCAACGCAATTAAAATGACACTTCAAAGGCCAATTGTACTTTATTGCTGGGTGAACTCATGCACTGTAAATTCAATTCTTACTTGTAATTAGATTTTCATATTTGTCAACCTTGTAAATTATTAATAATGATATAAGTCCTGAATAAAGAGATAAGAATAACATACATTCCAACAAAGGAAGTGGAAGTTAAATGTTTCCTTTCAATGTGACCTTATTCTTGATTTAATAAAATTATAAAATTGAAAAATTTATAACGGCTTTATTCGTCTACCTATCCAATTTATTTTG